AATACGCATGTGGAGAATTCACATGGTCATAAATTCTGAAGAATAATGGAACAGACCAGGAATATTCAGGCTGGGTTTTAGGACCTGGGGCATCAAGGATAGAGAGGGGGAGATTTCACATGACAGACAAAGAGGTGGTGACCTCGTCCTTACTCTAGATGTAAAGATGAGATTCTTAGAGAGAACTGGGGGAGACGCCCAAACTACATGCTCCTAGGTAATAAAAGGGAGAGTATCAATTGCTTAGAACTGGGTGAGACCCATCCAAACTAGATTCTTCTAAGCCCTAACAGGGAAAGCTTCAATTAGGCAAGAACAGAAGCTTCTCCTAGCCTTCAGGGCCTCACTGCTCCCAACCTGAAATATCTGCATTCTTGAAGTGATGCTGTTAGGGGGGAAAAGGATGTCCTAAAGCTAATTCCATACAGGCTTTGTGGACTCCACCCCCGCCCCAGGCCAAAGCCAAAGACACTGGGAACTCCAAATCCCATCAGCACCAAAGGGAAGGTGGCTGGGACCTGAGGGTGGGGTTAAGCAGGTTGGTATAAAGCCAGACACGTGGGCTTTGGAGGGGTCCCCCATTTTGACTCTCCGCCAGCTCGCAGGGTCTGGCCAGCTCGGAGAGTGCTTTTTGGGTTTCCAGGTCTGCGGATCGGGTAGGACGCATTAAAGACTTTATTTCCCTATTTTCTCCCTGAGTTGTACGTTTTCCTTATTTCCTTTTCCCTTGTAAATAAACCTTTTATTAACCCTTTGTGTGTGCCTGTAGTGGAGTATTAATAAGCCCCTTGTAAGCGCGCGGGTGAGGACCCACAGCCAGGCAACCCGTTCAATATCGGGGCTGCCTTATAACAATGCTAATCAGCCTCCTGAGGCCCACAGGGCCTGCTGGACGTGTAGTTCTCATGCCAAAGGGACAGGAAGCCGGCTCTGGGCCTATAAGAGACAAGCCCACTGATCCTTAGTGGGGGAAAACTGACCCCACAGGGCAAATCCATCGCATGCCTAGAAAAGAAGAGCACCAGGGTGGGGTGGAGTCACCGAGTAGGCAGCATGTATTAAGAAGCATTTCTGTAATCCAACAACGACAGATTTAATCATTTACTACACAAGCATCACCCTGAATGCATGGCACTTAACTTGACTGTGAAATAGAGAAACAAAAGAAACCGACCATTCCAGGCGGACTGAGACAACCACAAAGGCAGGTCAGGTGGTGTGCACGGGATAAAGTCTCAGAACCTGACGAAGTCTGGATTTGCCAGTGAATTCCATTTAGCTCTTGAGCTGTGCTGAACGGGGAACTGTAAAGCAGATGGAAACACAGCGTTGCACGTGCACAGGGTCTGAGAGCTGACCTCCCTTTCTTGACTTTCTGAGTGGTGAGCCCCTGCCCCAGGGGTCCCAAGGAATGTGCCTGGGCAGGCCTCCTGTGTTTTCAGGGCTATCCGGCGGGGCGTCTCTCCCGGCAGCCACTTTAGTAACTAACTGTTGCCACCTGCTGGTCATCGGGCCGAGGTGCATGCTGGAAATCTGCGGCCCGCTGCTGGGGCAGTTTAGACCAACACAGCCTGAGCGTTTTCTCCAAAGAAGTGATTTTGGATGAACCACAATTATTATATTCATTAAGACACACAAGAAGGTGGAATTTTAGAAAAGCAACATCCTTCATTCATGCATTATTTAATAATCAATTACAAACCCTTTTGTTGCTAAATAGCAGAAATTCTGCAGGATACTAGCAAGTGATGGATAGTTAAAGCTCATTCTATCCTCAAATGACATTATCCAATGCTATCTTCTATCCAAGTCACTGAAGCAAGCTTTATTTTCATTCATTCACTCCTGAAATTATTGACTGAGTGCCTACTATAGACATATGACAGGTTCTGTGTCAAAAGATGAAGCCACAGCAGTTAAGTAAAAAACACTCAGTGTCTGATAGGAGAGGCAGCATTAAACAGGTAAGCACACCAGTAAACGTGTAACAATATGGAACTGTGACTGTATAATGGAGATTTGGGCTATTTGTTATGCATTATTATTTTTAAATGTTTTCATTCTTTGACCCAGCACTTCTACTTATAGAGCTTATCCTACAGCAATCATCAGCTTTCCTATAGTATCCTGAGTATAGAAAATTAGGCTGATTTATATGTATAAGGATTATTTATAAAAACAAATAAATAAGAGTAAATAAGGAAAACATCCAAATGTCCAATGATATGAAATCAGTTAAATAATGGTACACTCAAAAAATAGACTACTATACAGCCATTGAAAATGAAACTATAGAACCATATTAGTTGACCAGGAGCATATTTATTATATAGTTTGCAATTTACAGAAGATTATATATAGTAAATCTCATTTTGAAAATCCTTTTTATGGGTGTTTTCTTCCAACTCCTGACTACATAATCAATTCTTTTATCATTATTATTGTATTATTGTGATCATCCTGCAAATATGCTGTTATTTTTCCCATCCAGAAAGTCACAAAACAAAAAGCTTCTATTGAATCTATTTCCCCCACCAGCTACCACCTTATTTTTTGTTAGAGTCCCTCAAATTCCTTTGCAGTAGAGTCCCTCAAATTCCTATTCTCTTAAGTCTATCACAACTGGGTTTTGTGGATGTCAAGGTCACCAGTAGCCTCCATATTGCTCAGCGCCATGGTCATTTCTGTCCTACTCTTGGGCTCCATCAGTAGCATTTTACACAGTGGGACACTCTTCCTTGTATGAGTTCTTCACTGACATAGAGAAGTCTACTCTCTTGATCTCCTCCTGTTTCTTTGCTTCCTCCTTCTCAGCCTTCTCTGCCTCTTCCTCTTCTTCCCTACCTCTGTTAGCTCTCTTCTCTGCCTATCCTCACTCTTTCACCGATCCAGTTGTGGTGTTAAACACTGTCCTCCCTAGCCTAGACCTCTCTCCTGAACTCCTGACTCATACATCTAACTGCGTACTCAGAATTCCTGTACACATCTCGAATGCATCACACCCCTAAAAGAACTCATGATTTCCCCACCTCCACTAAATCTGCTCCATCCACAGTCTTCTTTAATTCATTAAATCAAGCCAAAAATCCTACAAATCACTGGTAATCGCTATCCTTTTTCTCTCTAGCATCCAGCTCCAATCCTTCAGCTGCTCCCCCCTCCCTTACTATCACCAAATAAGATCATATCCTGAGCGACTGGGAGTTAAGACTTCAACATATGAATTTGGGGGAGACACAATTCGGGTCATAACATTGTATTATTTAAATTTGCTACATAAACATATACAAGTATATGTACTTTATAATGTAGAAAAATGTATGATACTTTTTCAAAAATATCACCAGACCACAGCAATAGGGTCTCTTCTCCCTGTAAAGCTATTCAAGGACGCCCGATATCAAAAGTAAAGCCCCATCAGCATGTGTTGCCCAAAGCTGTCTCGGGGGTCACATCCGTTGAGCCATTTGGAAGGCTTAGAAGCCCATGGACGAGCTCTGGTTGGAGTTTGTGAATCTCACTTAATTTTCCTCATATTTTATTTTCTAGAACTTGGTTCACATCACTCCATCAAGACACACAGTGTGGAGGGATGTATTTCCTGGCTAGGCAGTCACAGTTCTAGGCTATGGCAGGGAAAGAACCAATTTTTAGTGGACAGCTGATGCCCCACAATTAATTAATTAATTAATTAATTAATTATGGGTAGCCCCAAATATTTGAAAGTAGAACATTCTGATTTGATGTGATTTTCTAGGTTACTTTTTGGGTCTAGGAATATAGTTACATTAATTTATATGGAATTGTTTTTGGGTGTTCCCAGATCCAAAAAACAGCCCATTAAATTATACCACATAGGAATGCTCTACTTTGGCTTAGCAGGAAGACCTGTCATGCCTCCTTGTTGCTCTCTGCTCTGCCCTCCAAGCCCTGTGTCCAGTGATTTGTCTGGGGTGTGGCGAGGAAGGGCTGTCAGAATGCTGGCATTGGGCTTGAGGTGAGAGGATTCCTTACAAGGCAGGAACAGGCAAACTGCTGTAAATCATTGCTTCTTTCTCCATTTGGGTAAAAATGCTTTTCAGACTGAGCAATCACTAAGTGCTGGCTTTTAGGATTTTTTGTCCCCAACAAAGGAATTGGAAAGCCGAACCGCTGCATTCTCTACTCCCCTGAGTGAGAGCAGGCAGAGGAATTGATGGAAGGAAGTTGGAACCTGGAACAACTGCTCATGCAGTGGGACATTGTGTTCACATTAATTACTCTTTCCTTGAATAAGGGCACCTGGGAGGTGGGTGGTTTGCTCCAGCTAATGGCCCATCATGGGGCAGGTGTTGCCATATACAAAGATAGGTCTGAACAGCCCCTCCAGGGGGCCAGTAAAACAGTTTTATGGAAGAAACCATCTTTGTTAGAAACCCAACCTGACCCAGCATAGACGCTCCAACAGCAGATTCAGCGACAATCATACTCCTCCCAGATTCATTTGGTCACAAAAGCCGAGCACTCTCGGCCTGGAGAGAAGCAGAACAAATGTTCCATAGGCTGAATGTGGACGTTTCTGATTTGGCTGGTCAGAGCCTTACATAAACAGCTATCTGCTCAAGCCAAACGACTGATGAAATCAACCCACATAGATGAGGTTTTCATGTTTACAAGGGAGGGAGTTGCTCACCATTCAAAACAAGCCTCTCCCCGCTGCATGTTTTTTTTTTATTAAGCTCTGGCTCGCAGTGCATTTAATACACAATGTAGTTCACACAACTGATCATGGGAATAGCAAGTGCGTAAAGTGAGGCACTCTGCAATAATCAAGTTGCTGAGGAGCAGTTCTGAGGGCTTAGGGCAGCCCAGCTGTCACTGCCACAAACAGGTGGTGTAAAACAATAGCTGAGCCGGCTCACTTCAAATCCTCGAGCTGCCAAACGTCCCATCACACAGTCCTGGGCAGTGCACAGCACAAGCCACCACTCTGCCACCAGTCCATGCCAGCGCCCACACACATGGCGCCCCCAATGCTCCTCCTGCTCCTGGCGTTCTGCTCAGGTAAGTGCTGGGGTCGGAGGGCTCTCCTGTGAGGCTGAAGCCCAAGAAGCCCTCAAAACAGAGTCTTGCTTCTTTGATGGGAACACAAAATGGCCAAGCCTCACCTGCCGCAGGCTGCTCTGGCAGTTTCTCACCCATATTGGCTTGATTGGGTTTGTGGATAAGATTGCTAGTTTGTGATCTGCAGTTAAAATGAGAACCACCTGATCCAACAAAGCAGACACACATGTTTCCTCTCCCTCCGTCATGCACTGAATCACCATAGGGTCAGATGCCTCATCATACCTACCACCCAGAGCTGCTCTTTGTATTTGAGCTCTAGGGACTTAGAGCAGCTACTTATAATGGCTACTTATAATGGTTAACTAGTCCTTACATTGCTCTAGGAGAATTCTGATAATAGGAAGGCTGACTGACAGCGGCATGTGCTAGAGAGCAAAAATCTATTAATAATTGTAACTAAATTCTCCCCGAGAGATGAAATATTTTGTAATTTTATTAACTTCTGAATTTAAGAAACAGTCCATATGAATGCATTCAGGACTAGTTTTTGTGTTTTATGTTTTTTTTTTTTAAGATATTACTGCATGTGGGTTTGGGTTTGAATTGAAACTATAAAACTTGCACAGCCCTTGACCTGCATTCAACTCTGGAATGTGTGACAACACAGCAGCTGAAATGCTATCCTGAATCCCAAACTTCCGGTAGAGGGAAGTAGGAGATGGCTGCTGCTTGCTTCACATGAAAGTTTACTAGTGATATCATCCCAACTGCGAAACAAGGCCAGTGACATTCCGTGATTTCTCTTCTCAAGTGTTGACAAACACAGCCCTTCTGGGCAAAAGAGGTAAAGAGCTTTATAATTAAATTTTTTCAGTAGAGTTGAGGAAAAAAATTAGAAATTATATCCTGTGGAATTTGGACTTGATCCAACAAAAGCAGGCTTCGTGGTAGGGATGACGGTGGGGGTGCCAGAGGCAGTGGTGGGGTGTGTGTGTATTGTTTGCAAAGACTACACACTATGAAAATTCTTATGCTTACACATACAAATCCTTAAAGCATCTCTTAGGGCACCAAAGACCTCCAAAAATGTATGTTTAGTTATTTTTAAAAGTACGTACAATGTATTTAAATCAAACCCAGCGTCTGCCTGCACCAATCCACATAATTGGTTCACAGAAATTTAGATCTCAATTAAGCAGTCCAACTTCTTCACTTTTTCTTATAAGGAAACTACAGCTAAAAGGCATGAGTTGGCCTGCTCAAGCTTACTTAGTTTACACATTTCAGATGTGATCAGCTGGAGATACCATTTGTTATGTGCACAGTTACAAAACACTACCAGAAATTTGCAAAGGTAGCAAGAGACATAGCACCAGGTTGAGCTAAGCATTACCCAGGGTAATAACAGTATAGGTATCAAGGTAGTAACAGCACAGAATCCTTTTGCCCAGCCAACAGACTGTTCCACACATAACAGACTGAATCAGTTGGTACAATAAAGAACAGTTTGAAATTAAGGCTGGGCTCTCCTACTTAGAATCAGTCTTTTGTGGGCTAAATTCTCATTCATATCAGGGACACTCTTTCCTGTGTTAGCTTAACACAGTGATCTCTGTGCTATTTATAGAGCATCTTTCGTTTCAACATTTTCCTGTCTTCCGTCTCCGGAATCCTTAGTACTTCACTGTCACCTTCCTTGTGGCATATTACTTTCCAACTTGTTCATAGTTATTTATGCAAATGACAAATGTCACTCTCCAGGAGGGTAGGAAGACCGCGTTCACATCAGAATCACCTTTGAAAATCTCTAAGCTCCTCAAACAGTGCTTTGCACATAATAAAGGTTCACAAATATTCGATAAATGAGTTAATGTTACCAACTTCTGAATAAGGATTATTAATGGGATTTTTCTGTAAAGGAAGACTTTGTCATTATTTACTTGCTTGTCTGTATGTTTGTTCATTAACTCCCTGTCTTTTAAAGAAAGTATTTATTGTGATTCATTGAGTCCATGAAGAACTGGTCCAACTCTTCAAATCATATTGGAGTTAGGAATGGCCCTGCAAGTTTCCATCACTCTAGCTTGCTTTGGTGGGGGGAAAAGGAATGCCAATAAACACAATCGAAGGAACATAAATTTCCCCTGAGAAATTTTCACGGAAAAAGCCCCCCTTGTTATTAGTGACGGTGGGAGAGGGGAAGGTGAAAGTCACTGGAATTCTGGGCACGCCTATGTTCCTAGTTCACCCCTTCTCCTTAATGGACCGTGGCTGGCCAGCAAACTTGTCCTGCTACATAATGCTCACCATCTGCTCTACACATTGCTTTCTAGTATGTTCTTCCTGTCGAACTGGGGGAAAAGGTCATTTCAAAATAATAATCCTGGGGTAATGCCAAAGCATCATCTTCAAACTCAGTAGCCAAGTGACCCATGCCATGGGTTATGGGGGAGGGAGAGAGGCCCAGGATAGACAAGGCATGGAGGAGACTGCAGTGTCCCACAGGCTTAATAAAATGACTGTACAAACTGGGTCTTTGGACAATATGCCTTCTTGTGGAGGTGCCCAAATACAGGTGGTTTCAGACAGATGCCACATGAGTCTTGCATGGTTGGGCACCTTGGATCATTTTGGGTTCAGACAACTTGGGAAACTAGATATGAAGAGGTAGGTTGCTTAGGAGTTCCCTACATAGAGTCCATGAAGGCCATAATGATGGTATTTCTGCTACACTGAAAGTTTCAAAACTCGGAGTAGAATGATACATTTACTTTTAGGAAGGTGGTGGAGCACACAGGTCCTAGTGTCAGGCTGCCTCAGGCTAAAATCCAGCTCTCACTGCCTGGGGAACCACATTGCTTGACTGTCTGAACCTGTTTTCTATTTGTAAATTAAAGGTAGACTTAACTCATGGGATTGTCCTAAGGCTTCAATAAGATAATACAAATGCAGGCCTTTAATAAAGCGCTGCAGACTAAAACATACTTTTGGATGGGGGTGAAAATGTATCAACTCTTTGTATAACAATGGGTGTTTCAATCTGATCCAAAGTTCTGAATGAGCAATTGCAGTCGAGAGTATGGGCTCTGGTTTGGATTCCCAGTGCCACCATTTCTGGACAAGTCACTTAACCTCTCTGTGCCTCAGTTTCCTCATCTGTAAGGTAAGGACAATAATACTACCCGCTGCACCCTGTTATGAGGGTTGAAAGCATCAGTGTATCTATAAAGCACAGAGAAGAACATCTAGTGCCCAGCAAGCTGAATGTTAGTTTATTTTTGATGATTAATAAAAATAGAAAAAGTACTATTTACTTAATTATTACTTCGTTTATAAACTCTTCCAAACCTAGGCTCCAAGGAGAAAAATAATGACCCGTCTTAGAGGTTAGCACCACTGGCAATAAAGGGAAAGCATTTCATTTGTTCAATTTTTCAGAAGTTGATTTGGCCCAGGAGGAGGGCTGGTGGTCTGAGCAGTAACCTGCAGAGAGGGGAGATCTGGTTACATGAGTCAGGGCAAATGGATTGTACGTCTGTTTCCTCTCCAACCCTGAACACATAAGCCCCAATCCACGGAAGGCCTGAGTTACAAAGAGCCTCCATAAGGCATTTGTTGGAATCTGGAACACATTTCTCATAAGAACAGTGGTATAGCATATGCTGTTGCACAGTTTCCAGGACAGCCCACAACACATCATGATGGTAGGAGTTAGTGCAGGGACACAGGGACACATGTACAATGACAGGGTGCTAAACGGAAGTCTGTCCTAATCACAGAACCTTGGACAGGTTGTACAACCTCTCGGAATCTCAGGTGATAATGTCTGCCTGGCTGACTCATCAGAGGCCGGTGAGGAACACATAACATTGAACAGAAGAGAGAGGTGGGCTCTGAGGGTATTAGATGATACTGCCCCTCCCTCCTAAAGGAAAATGTAGTAAAGGTTCCTGGGAATCCATGATGTGCCACACAGGAGCCCCAAACCCAGGTCTGCAAAGGACATAGTTTCACTCTATTCTAAAAACCTAACTCGGAGACATGTACCCACCAGCAGCAATACTCTTTTTCAATTATGGTAACATATACATTACATAAAATCACCATTTTAAAGTGTACAATTCAGTGGCATTCAGTATATTCACAGTGTTATGCAACTATCGCCACTATCTAGTTCCAGAACTATTTCATCACTACACAAAGAACGGTGTACCATGAGCATTCACCTCCACTACCCTGATCCCTCAGTTCCTGGTAACCACTAATCTACTTTCTGTCTCTATTGATTTGCCTAATCTGAATATTTCATATCAATGGAATAATAGAATCTGTTCCTTTTGAGTCTGACTTCTCTCACTTAGTATGTTTTCAAGCTTCATCCATGTTGTAGTATGTATCAAGACTTCATTCCTTTTTATGGGTGAATAATGTTCTACCTAATGGATACACCATTTGTCTGTTTATTGTTGATGAGCATTCAAATTGTCTCCACCTTTTAGCTAGTATATACAGGGTTTCCATGAACACTTGCATACAAGTTTTTGTATAAATGATTATTTGAGGGGACGGTGGAATTGTTGGGTCATATGATAACTAACCATTGAGGAAGCACCAAACTATTTTCCACAGCAACTGTACCATTTTAAATCTGACCAGCAATATATGCGAATTCCAGTTTCTCTACTTCCTCACCAACATTTGTTGTTTTCAATTATGTTAATTATGTTTACATAATATGTTCACATCCTCATGGGTGTGAACCAGCATCAATTTTTGGCTATTCCTAGCATCATGAGATCTGAGGCTAGCCAATTCAAGATTTCATTATGGCATGACTAGACTCTGAAATTCTGAGACTGGCTTTTGTGCGGACCTTTCTTGTGTGTGCATGTCCTTAGCAAACCTGACTCATTCAGAAGCTGTACAAAGAATGTCATCTGTCCAAACTACAAGTGTCATGATAATCTGGCATGTTGCATGTTGCCTAAGAAGGGTCTACAACAGTAGCAGCTCTTGGAGAGGAACTGAAGGCAATAATAGGGGCCTGCATGCCTTTCATTAGCTGGTCACACCCCAATTTCTCATGCTAGCATATGTGGAGAGTGAGAAACAGAATCTCACAGCATGTGTGTTATTTACTGCCCTAGCTGGCCTTGTCCTGGGCTCTGAACATGAGACACGTCTGGTGGCAAAGCTATTTGAAAACTACAACAGCGTGGTACGGCCAGTGGAAGACCACCGCCAGGCAGTGGAGGTCACCGTGGGCCTGCAGTTGATACAGCTCATCAATGTGGTAAGATATGAGCTCTAGGGATCCCCACAACACACACATCTCTCACTCTGAAGCATCCTCTCCTCTGCTCCCCCATCTATTCCCTAAACATGGGGTCTTACGTCTTTTTCAGGATGAAGTAAATCAGATTGTGACAACCAATGTTCGTCTGAAACAGGTAATTCAACTATTTATGTGGCTTTAATTCACCCTGAAATTTAACCTAGGCCTAGCTGAAATCAATTGGGGTGACAGGGGTATAGACTAAAATGTATGTAGATCTTTTGGGGGGGTGGAATTATGGAATTATGGATCATGTTTGCTGATGTTCCTTATTTTGTGCTTTTTCTGTGTGTATTAGTTTGCTGGAGCTGCTGAAACAAAGTCACAAACTAGGTTACTTAAACAACAGTTCATTGTCTCATAATTCTTGGGGACAAAAGTCCAAAATCAAGGTGTAAACAGATTGGTTCGTTGTGAGGGCTCTGAGGGAGAATCTGTCCATTTCTTACAATTGACAGTCTGCACAGTCACATGGCCTTCTCCCTGGATCTGTGTGTCTGGACATGTCCCTTTCTCATAAAGACAAAGCACAATGGATTAGGATCTACCTAAATGACCTCATTTTAATTTGATGAATACAGTTCATCAAATTAAGGTCACTCTGTGGTGCTGGGGATTAAGACTTCAACACAGAAATTTGGGGGAGACAATTCAGTTTGTAAAATTGTGTTATTCAAATTGGCTACACTGGGCATATACTATATAATATACAAAAATACATAATACTTTAAAAATGATGTTGCCTGCTTGAGGACCTTGTTCACAATAAGGTCCTTGTCCTTTCTTGAGGTGGGCAGGATGGCATAGTAGATCTGTCACCACCCGGTGGTGTGACTTGGGAATACCTCTGTTTTCTCATGGAGCAATTACTCTTACAGGGTCAAGTAACCACCGGTAGTTCAAAAGTCTAGCTCTGAGACTGTGATGAATATAGGGAAGGTGGTTAGAACAGGGCCTGCAGGTTGTCAGTGCTATAATGTGTTTGCCCTTATTGTTAAGGGAAAGCTGAACCCTGAATCAAACTTTTCTTACTGGAACACAATTTCTGTTCAAATTTGAATTACCACAGCTGTCCAAGCGCTCAATCCTAGAATTTAAAATATATTTTTAGCTTTTCAATTGGTTAAATGTCTTCATTTCTAGCAATGGGTGGATTACAACCTAAAATGGAATCCAGAAGACTATGGCGGCGTGAAAAAAATTCACATTCCCTCAGAAAAGATCTGGCGCCCAGACCTTGTTCTCTATAACAAGTAAGCAAAACAGACAGGATGGGGAGGGGATGAGGCAGGCGGTGCCCGAGTGCCCTAACGGAAGGGCTGCCACCCCTGGTATGCTTCTCAACACTGTTAACATTAAATAACCCTTAAAAACCAAGCACCAAGTTGACATGCTAGGGGCGCCATATGGTGTCTCATGTTATGAATAGAAACAATTATCAGAGCCAAATTGAATCAGGGCTGTGGGGTAAGGGACATTTAATCCCTGAGAGCTCCTGAAGGGTGTATGGCAAGTATCCAAAGAACCCAAACTTCATCTAATCGAGTTCCTTGGAATGAAATGTCCTTCCTACCAATAGGTCTGAACCTCCCGGGGTTGTGCTGCAGCACATGCTCACGGCATCCCAAGACACGGCCTGTGCGGATGGCCCGGGGTGCCTGCAGAGCCCCTCCACTGGGCTCCGTGACAGCCTGCATGTGGTGAAGTTATAATGTGATTCAAGACACTCCAGCTTAATGACACGTTCATTATCATATGCCCTTCATTTGTCAGGGAATGTTCATTTCAGAGTGCACCCTTTCCAGGCAGGAGCATGCGGCTTGGCGGAGAGGGTCTGCCATGCGACTCCATGCAGCATGTGTCTGGGCCGGCCGGCTGTGCTTCTAATAGACCTACCAGGGAGGGCGGCAAGGGCTGTGGAAGGGAAATGCACTCCATAAAGCCGACCCTCCCCAACTTTGATTTTTCTGCTACGTATTTCCAACTATACCTGGGATTCAAGTGTGAGCTAAATTATCTGATCATTTATGTAATGATGTCAGACAAATATTCTGATAGGCAGACTGTCTTGTGTTAGTGAAGTTTCTCTCTAGGTGAGAATCTGAGGGAAGCAATGACAATCTCTGATCCTTTTGACAAGCCCTATCAGGAACACACTGGTGGGGAGAGAATCCTGTTTTACCTGCTTAGAAGGACAGACTTGGATGTCTATGGAGCGTCTGTTTTTTGGGACTCTTGAGGGAAGGCCCAGAACTATGTAGTTCTCTGCACCAAGCCAACCTCCATTCCAAGAAAAAATAAATGGCAAGAAAATCTCTTGATTGATGAAGTGAGCAATTAACTATAAGGAATTATGGGCCATGTTCGAGAGGGTTTAGTGTGTTTCTTACTTCGTGCTTTTTCTGTGTGTATTAGTTTGCTCAGGCTGCTGAAACAAAGTACGTGAGTCATGTCCCTGAAGGTCCACTGAGGCAGAGGCACCTACCCCACACTATCCTGCCTGCTCCCCACCAGCCTGGAGAAAGTGATAGCCCACTAAATAAGGCCTGCAGAAGTGGCTTGTTATTGTTTTTTTATATCTACCACTTTGGGTATATTTTTAAATAAAAAAATTATTGCCAACATTTGAAAATCAGGAAACATCGCATTGCAATTTTTAGCCTCTCTGGAAAAATCCATCATTCCAGGGCCTCCCCGGTGGCGCAGCGGTTGAGCGCTGGGTTGCGAAGCTGCCCGCGGCCTCTGCAGCGCCGGTTCGATCCCCGGCTGCTCCCCGGCCACCGGAGGAGGATCCCACATGGTGCGCAGACCTCTCCTGCCACCCGCTGCTCCCCTCAGCAGTGTACTTCGGTCCTTCTGCCTGCTCTGCTCCCCGCTCTGGCTCTGGTGAATTCTCTCACCCTCCCGCGCTTCTGACTGTACCCAGTGCATGTATAAACAAAACAAACAAATATAATAAATAAATAAATAAAAACATGCCTCTATAAAAAAAAAATCCATCATTCCATAATCTGAAAATTTTAGACAAAAATATCTAGATTTCCAGCTTCAGAGGAAGCCAAATATCTGGCAACATTGGGCCATGGGGACACCACAGGCAGAACTGAGGGGTACTTCCCAGGAGGAGAAGGGGGCTCTCCTTTAGTCTCATCCATCACTCCTTCTTCACCATTCTGGAGGTTTCTGGGGGATGAGGCCCCACTCCTCTGAGTTCTAAGTAGTTATTCAAAAGGGGAAAGACCTCTTCATTAACCTGCTTGTCATAGTAATGAGCCACTGCAGGTTTTATTTAAAATTCCTGTTTTTTTCCTCAGTTAACTTTCTGAGTAAATCAGGGGAGTCAGGAGAGATGAAGATTAACATGACAGACACCACTGAGAACTGGGGAAAAAAAAATCTGGGATGCCATGGATCAGTGTTACCTATTATTTCTTTAAACTAGATTCCCAGGCTCTTTCCCAGATATTCTGAATCAGTGCTCTATGTGCTCAGGAATCTGTATTTTATACAAACTTCCCAGTGATGCTTAATATCAAACAAATTTGGGGAATATTGCCATAGACTGAAAAGCAACACTACCCAAAAGGAAGCTTCTATAATTAGCACCTGAATATGAACAGCTGTCTCCTGTTAAACATCCCTAAGCAGAGCTGAAGCCTCATCCGTCACAGCGAGCTATGTTCCTCTTTCATCCCAATTGCAGTGCAGATGGTGACTTTGCCATTGTCAAGTTCACCAAAGTGCTCCTGGACCACACAGGCCACATCACATGGACACCTCCAGCCATCTTTAAAAGTTACTGTGAGATCATCGTCACCCACTTTCCCTTTGATGAACAGAACTGCAGCATGAAGCTGGGCACCTGGACCTATGATGGCTCTGTGGTGGCCATCAACCCGGTAGGTGGTGACCTCATGTGATGAGGCTGAACTGAGGAGATGAGTGCCTCGGGTCTCCAACTCTGCTCCTTGAGACACATGCACTCAGCACCAGTTAGATGGAACTTTGGGGGTCATCTAGTTTGATGGTTCTCGGTGTTTGGGAAAATTCTTGATGCCCTACCCATGGACACCACTAGGATGCTTAAATGAATACCCTGTGCCCAGGCACAGCCCGAAGATTTCTGATTTACTCCATCTGGAGTGGGTTAGGGTTACAGTTCCAGGTGACTTAGGTGTGCAGTCAAAATGGAGCATCCCAATAGTCCACCCCCTCACCCTTACTTTGTAGGAAAGGAATCTATGACCTAAAAGCAGGAGTGACCCAGGGATCCCCCTGGGTATGTGACAGACAACGCTGGAATCTGTCACCTCCTCACAGCTGATTATAAAACCCTGTCCCTCCTCGGATTTTCAAGGCTGGGATTTCAAGGTTTCACTCCATCTTCTCAGGAAAGTGACCAGCCGGATCTGAGCAACTTCATGGAGAGCGGGGAATGGGTGATCAAGGAGGCCCGGGGCTGGAAGCACTGGGTGTTCTATGCCTGCTGCCCTTCCACCCCTTACCTGGACATCACCTACCACTTCGTCATGCAGCGCCTGCCCCTCTACTTCATCGTCAATGTCATCATTCCCTGCCTGCTCTTCTCCTTCCTAACCGGCCTGGTGTTCTACCTGCCCACAGACTCAGGTGGGTGTGGGTGCCATGGCTGCTGTTGCTGTTGATGCTGACAGGTCTCATGCTGCAATTTTGTGGAAAACCAGGAATAAGCTTGGGCTGATAAACAAATATGGACAGACCCCAGGGAGGATGGGTGCAGCCCTGTGCACTGGTGAAGGTCCTGAGGGCAGAACCCTCAGCTCAGGCAGAATGTAAAGTGATGCTGAAGATACACATACACAGCTCAGTCCAGTTAAAGTGACTAACCACCGATCCTATTTGTCAAATACCTATGGAATATGTGTGCCCAGAAATGTGCTGGGCCGGGCATGGAACACAGACACTCCCCAAACCACTTCCCCTATGAAGTCACCTGTTCAGCTGACTAATGCAGGTGCTGCCCCTTTAGCCCACTGTTTGCCACTGGTAAAAAGCTTTTGCATATCTGTTTTCCAGATGGCACTATCTCTCTATGCAAGACCATACTTCCCAAGTAGCACTTCTTTTTCACGTATCAGCCTGGACAAATTGCTTACCTCCTACTGAGCAGTCACATCTGTGACATAATTTCACCCAACACCAACAATCTACAAAAAGTGGGGAGAGACCGCACACCTGTCTGTCAGTAAATCTCTGCTCGTAACAATTTATGGCAGACATAGGGAAGAAAGAGGGTACACGTACTCCCCAAACTTATGACAGCTAGTAATTTTATCAAGATGATTTTTGTAGACCCACAAAAGTCTAAATCCAATTTTCCAACCAGGAAAAAAAGATGACACATTCACTCATTTAACCTCTATTTGAGGGAGTGACTGTTATATAGCAGGAATATAGTGGAGAGTAAGGCAGAAAACACCCCACAAGATGTATGTTCTAGTCATTATAGTTGTTTCAACTTTCTAGTCAAATGAAGCTTCTCAACGTGAAGAGGGAAAACACTAGTCAGGACAATATGGACACTATTTAGAGTTCTAGAAATCCTAAATGATTTATCCTTGACTTAGCCTCAGAACAGTAAGGTGGGCTGATAAATGTTAGCTGTTACTGTTACCATCATTATTGATCAAGAAATCTGATATAATTTGATGAATATGTCATGTTTATAAATGTCTTCTTTTCCACTATTGCAGACTGACAATTTCTTGCTTTCTTCCACTCATTTTCCCACATATACTCTTAGCAAGGAAGGTTCACTAAGGGGAAAAGTTTTGTACTGAAAAACAGGGCAACACGGGGTTTCCCAAGTCATAAACAGTAAGACCAACCAAACCTTCCGCAGGTTTTCTATTGTATCCACAGTGATCAGTCACCACAAAAACATCCCAGTGCCTCTCAGCTCCTGCCCTTGCTGCTGGCCACACCAAGACTCCAATGGGTCATTTTCACCCTGAGATTATAGGGCCTGGAGACAAGAGGTGGGGGCAATGGGGGCGTTGGCAACAACACAAAATGAGCCAAATCATCCTCAAAATGAAAGTGAGAGAACAAGCAGTGTGAAATCCAGTATGTGCTCCTCTGGTACTGGTCTTGCAGCTTGCTTGCATGATGAGAAAAATACACACTCCTGGGCTCCTGGGCTGTCCACCTACCTGCTGGGTAACAAGGAGGCCAGGTGGAGTTCTCTATTGGGAGTTTTAAGATATTCTGCTGCAGGACAGAAAATGCCTCCTGTGGGGGTAGCTTGCCTCCCAGAACCCCTTTGGCTTCCTGGGTTAAACCAAAAAATGGCATTCTGGGCCCTGAGAGGAAGTAGCTATCTTCTGCTTGGCAATCTCTAGTGGAAATACCTGCCCCTTACATTGTCATCAGAGCTAAAATGCCAAGGTCTCATAGGCAATTCAGCATTAAAAAAAACCCAGAACAATGCTTTTAGAACATGCCAGTTATATTCCTTTCACCCTTGGGTATGGGTGGTTTATTAGTTTGCTAAAACAGCCATAATAAAGCACCATAGACTGGGGGGCCTAAACAACAGATATTCATATTATCTCACAGTTCTGGAGGCTGGCAGTCTAAGATCAAGATAACAGAGGGGCTGGTTCCTTCTTGAGACCTCTCTCCTTGGCTTGTGGATGACCACGTTCCCCCTGGGTCCTTGCACAGTCCTCCTTCTCTGTGATATGTGTGTCACAATCTCCTTTTCTTATAAGGACACCATCATATTGGCAGAGGCCCAACACAAGACCTCATTTTAATTTAATTACTGCTTTAAATACAGTAATATCTCTAAATACACTTGACCTTTAAACAGCATGGAGATTAGAATTGCCAATCACAGGTAGTTGAAAACCTGGGCATGATTTGAGCTGACCCTTCATGTTGGTGGGTTCCATATCACCAGATCCAATCACCCAAGTCTAAGTTGGGGTGACTCTGTGGATGCAGAACCCTCAGGTATAAAACAAGTCTGTGCTTAAATGGACCCAGCAGTTCAAACCCATGGCAGTCAAGGGTCAACTGCACAGCTACTGAGGTGCTGAGGTTTAGGACTTCATCGTACAAACTTGGGGGAGCAACAGGTCAGCCCATAACAGGTAGGTTGCTCTATTTTTTTCTTGTCCAGGGGAGAAGATGACTCTGAGCATCTCTGTCCTGCTGTCCTTAACCGTGTTCCTTCTGGTCATCGTGGAGCTGATCCCCTCCACCTCCAGTGCCGTACCTTTGATTGGGAAATACATGCTGTTCACCATGGTTTTTGTCATCGCTTCCATCATCATCACCGTCATCGTCATCAACACGCACCACCGCTCACCCAGCACCCACGTCATGCCCGAGTGGGTGCGGAAGGTGAGAGCGCGAGGCCCAGGCAAACATGCTCAGGGCATTCAATCCCTTAAGGACACCCACAGCTCTCCCCTTCCATGGGGTCAGCGGTATCTGGCCAACACTGAATATTTAGAAATTGATGGGTTGTAAGGGATTTGGAGGAGTTCTTTGGGTCTCTTCCTAGGGATAAATATCTCATGTAGCCTCTCCAGAGAGCAAAGAAAAACTATCAAGAAAACCCACTCTAAATTCAAGCTTGAAGAATCTCTGATTGGAGATGAATAAATCTGTCTTCGTATTCAAATGGTGTAAAAGACAGGACATTTATGTTTATATAACTTCCAATTTGTGAACAGACTGCTTAGTTTTTCACTGGTAGAATCACCTGCTGAGAATAAAATAAAGGCTAGAGATGGAGAAGGGCTTAATGAGAGTGTCAAAAAGTAAGTTTCAGTGAGAAGTTGGTCTCAAATATTTATATTATTGATTTTTAGTGTTAACATTTCAAATACATCATTTTTTAAAATAAAGCATTGCAGAGACACCGAAGTCCAGAGTCATTGATGAAAAATGAAATTTGTTGTGAACTGACAAAGAAACTGATTGCAACGTCTCTATAAAGATTTAGTAATTCCTAGCAACTGCAGGAACTGGTGGGTGCAAATGCAATATTGCATTTCTTCAGAACAAGAAATTGGAGAAAACAGCCTAGCTGTTTCATGGGACCAGAAGCTTATATATTTTTATATGTGTGGGGGGGGAGGGTTATCATGTGATCATGAGAACATAAGGTCTTAAAAGAAGCAGGTGCCTATAAAGGGTCCTGAAGTTTAAGCTTCATTGGTTTCTTTCGACTCTGATGGCGGCACACAGTCTCCCTCTAGTGGTGAACTGCTCGAATTACATAAGCATCCCTGTAATTTAACATAGTAATTTAACAGGCCCCAGGCTATGCATGAAGGAATCCTTTTGAAAATCGAGCATAGTCCTTTTGTTTAAAGGACAAAGAGGTTGAGGCCTCGCTAATTTAAAGTCAGAATTTGATGCTTGCCTGCTGACAGTATTCTCATACAAGGATTTCTTTTTTATGTTAGGTTTTTATTGAGACTATCCCAAATATCATGTTCTTTTCCACCATGAAAAGACCATCCAGAGAAAGACAAGACAAAAAGATTTTTACAGAAGACATTGATATTTCTGACATTTCTGGGAAACCGGGACCTCCACTCATGGGCTTCCACTCTCCTCTGATCAAACACCCTGAGGTGAAAAGTGCCATCGAGGGCGTCAAGTACATCGCAGAGACCATGAAGTCGGACCAGGAGTCCAATAATGTGAGTACTGTGGCTTGAAACCCGCCCTCTGGGTTTCACTGGTCAAATGCAGATGGACAGATGACTGGGTACAGAAGTCTGGCTTGATTGGCATGTGGCCTTCAAGAGGGAGCTGCCTATCTCAGATGGGTTTTGGTGGCTGCCTGCAGGCACCTGGCTAATAATTCACATTGTGAATAATTTAACTAAAAAACAAATATAATGTGAGCCAAGCATGTTCAGGGCTTGGAGATGTACAAATTGAAGGGCCGGTAGATGATGCGTGTGAGTCTTCTTCAGGAATTTCTAACATTCTCCTCCCCTGCAGGCGGCAGAGGAATGGAAATATGTGGCCATGGTGATGGACCACATTCTCCTTGGAGTCTTCATGCTTGTCTGTATCATTGGGACCCTGGCTGTGTTTGCAGGTCGACTCATTGAATTAAATCAGCAAGGATGAGCCAAGAGCTAAGCTGGGCTCACCTCTGCCCCAGGACCAAGCAGAGCAGAGAAAGGCAGTGAAGACAGGAGGGTTCATCTACTTGGTTCACTCATCAAACATTTAATTTTGTGTATTTGTTATTAATTACATTTATGTCAGGTTATGGCCTCAATGTATTCGTGTTGCTTTTCTTTTCAACCCTGCTGTGTATCCCTAGAGAGTGACTCCTTCGTAATAAATAAAACTGGATCACTACAAGAAGCATTCATTTCCAAACTGAAGTTTGATGTTGTTTTTTAATTTTTTCTTTAAGCAAAGAACATAGCCTTTGCTTAAAAGCCAGTTTGGTACCTACTAGGAAAGCTCTGTCTACCAGTCCACAAAAGACCGGGATTGGGACGGAGAGGAAGCAATAGAAGCCAGAAGTGAGCTCCAGAATAACTCCATAGACAAAGTGCATCAAAATTACATGTTTTAAAGTAGATTTTTAGAACTGGGAGGTGCAGGAAGGATTTCCCAGTCCACCATAGCACTTGAGTTTGAGGCTCAAGTTTTGAGGTAAATCGGGTTCCAACCTGTAGCAAGTAAGGACCGTGCCCCTTGGGAATTGTGTCACTTGTGTGGCTTTATTCGTTCTCATAATGCTCACAGTGTCCCATTTTACAAATGAGAAAACTGGATGTGAGAGACTTTAAGTTCATTGTCCAATCTAGGAAGCAGAAGTGAGATTTGAACCCAGACCTCATGTGGGTTCAAAGTCACTTCAGGCTGGGTCAGTTCATTTGCTCACCAGTCACGCCTGACTCCATCCAGGTCAGCCTGGAACTGCGATCAGTGTTTTCCAGAGCTTCAATCTAAGTGTCAACCACCTTTCTGCCCTCCCAATTACACTCCTGCCTTCCTCTCTCACTCCTTATCTCAATCATTCATGGATTTGAGTTCCACCAATGAAGTAAAAAATATGTGCACCTATTACCACCATTTCTAAAATTCTGAATAAGTAGAAAAGAAAGTTAAGCCACATGGAGTTCACTCTAGAACACTAGTTCACTCTAGAAAATGTGCCACCCTGGGTTCAGTCATGACCTCTGCATCATCAGAACACATCGGACCCACATCAGCACCAGGGGAGAGTGTGGACTGCAGTGCTGGGCAGCCTCTCTAGACAGGGGGTTTCAATCTGCTTCTCCCTGGGATTTCCCATCACATACCCACGGCAGTTCTTTCATTACAATAAACTTAAGGGAAAACAGACACAACAAGAAAATCCTTTACATATAATAGAAAGGTGTCTCTTCAAAAAAGCTAAATATAGAATCATCATACAATCCAGCAATTCTACTCCTAGGCATTTACCTGCAAGGTTTAAAAGCAGGGACTTAAACAGATCACTGGACATCAATGTTCGCTGTAGCAATATGCACAGCGTTCAAAGAAGAGAAACAACACAGGTGTCACCAATGGATAAGCAAAATGTGATCTAGGCATACAATGGAACAGCATTCAGCCGAAAAGAGGAACAGCGTTCTGACATAGGCTACAAGGGGATCAACCATGCAGACATCATGCTGAGTGAAGTAAGCCACGCACCAAAGGACAAGTTAGTGTATGATCTCACCGATATGAGGCAGCCAAAATAGGCAAATTCAGGAATAATAAAGTAGAGCAGTGGCTGCCCAGATTGGGCGGGGGTGGGAGGGGGTCAGTTATTGCTCAGGGTGCAGAGTTTCCATTTAGGAAGATGAAAAAGTTCTGGAGATGAGTGGTGCTGATAGTAACACATCAAGGTCAATGTACTTAACGTCACTGAATTGTACATTTAAAAATGGTTAAGGGGCCTCACTGGTGGCTCAAAGGGTTAAGCATCAGCACTGTGAAGCTATCCACAGCTACTGCAGCACAAGTTAGATCCCTGGCCAGAGAGCTACCCACATGGTGCAGCAGACCTCTCCTGTCTCGCCCGCTACTCCCCTCAGCAGTGTATTTCCGTCAATCCACCTGTTCTGCTCCCTACTCTGTCTCTGGTAAATCCTCTCAACCACCCCACACACACCTCTGGCCTACACCCCAGCTCTTGTATGTATAAATAAATCTTTAAAAAAATTAAAAGTTGTTAAGATGATGAATTTTATGTGACATGTATTTTACCATAATTAAAAATAAAGTAAAACATGAAGGTAAGTTTCATGCTGTATATATCTTACAATTAAGGAAAAAGAGAGAATTCCCATCCTCTGAGCACAGGGAAGGGGGTAGGGTGGGGAGGGGCCTCACAGTGCAGCAGCATACATGGGGATCAGGACCCATGAGGTGCTGCTGCCACTGCCAGGGGCTCCGGAGCTCAGGGCTCCAGTTGGTGGAAGTCAGCTGGGGCCTCATGGAGCTGACAGGCAGTCTCCCCATCTTCAAGGCTGGTGGTCACATGGGGTGGGGTGTGGCCCTCATAATTCCAGTCTTCAGTTGCAACCTCCTGTCATCCTCACCCTCCTCTTCAGGGGATGAGGCAAGAGGGGCAGTGGGTGTTGGGAGTATGGTCAGGCCCTGAGCAAGCCAGGTATTGGAGGCTCCCTGGGAGCTCCAGGCAGGGGCTTGTGCAGCACCTTGGAGGCCCAGGCCCCTGCACCCAACCCAGCGCCTGCTGCCGATGCTGCTTCTCCACGGTGGATGCCACCGCAGGCCAACCAGAGCAGGGCTGTTCACACAGCTCATCCTGCCCCTCAGGCTGTCAGGGCTGCCCTGAGAAGCCTTAGCAGGAAATCCAGGAAGGCTGGTGCTGCCGAGTCTCTACGAGTGTAGTACTGTGTCCCCATGCTGATGCCACAGCTGAAGACTGGGGTGCCCACCATGACCCAGAGCCCCACTCTGCACCAGGGCCCACCCTCTCAGGGCCACTGAGTTGGAACCCAGCCCGCACAGACACTGCCGCACCATTCCTCCCGGTGTGAGCCTTCCCCAGCCGGCACCCCCTCAGTCTTTGGGCTGGGCTCTCAGTGAAGAGGGGGCTCGAGTTAGCAGGCAGGGGCAGCGCCTCTATTTCCAAGCCTCCTGTAACAGACGGCCCCCAGCTGGCTGGCTTACAAAATCATAGATCTCTCACAGCACTGGAGGTCTGCTTTGTGTCCCCCCAAGAGCGTCTGTTGAAACCCTGACCCTCAACGTGAAGGAATTTGAACAAGCCTTTGGGAAGTGATTAGGTCAGCTTAGGTCCGGAGAGGGGGCCTCCGGGGTGGAGCAGTGTTCTTTTAAGAAGAGACACCAGAGCTCCCACTCCGCGCTTCATCTGCTTGCTGCGCGCACGCGCCTCTCTCTTGTCTCTCTGTCTCTGTCTCTCTGTCTCTCTCTTTCTCTCTCTCCCTCTGTCTCTTTCCTCTATCTTTCCCTCCCTCCCTGTCTCACCCCTCTTCTTGCTTCCTCTCTGCCACATGAGGACATGGAGAAAAGGCAACAATCTGCAAGCCAGGAATAGGACCCTCGCCCAAACCCAACCCTGCTGGCTGGCCCCTCACCGCAGACTCTCACTCTCCAGAACTGTGAGAAAATCCATTTCTGCTATTTAAGTCACCCAGTCTATGGTCTCCCGTAGGCAGCCTGAGCTGACTAAGATGAGGCCAGAAGTCCAAAAATCAAGGTAAGCCAGACCAGTTCCCTTCAGTGGCTCTGAGGGAAAAGGCACCCAGCCCCCCACCCCCCCACCTGCCGCCCAGCTTCTAGCAGCTACCACTTCCCTTGGGTTTTTCACTTCTGTCTTCACTCGGCCTTCCTCCCTGTCTCTCTGTGTCCTCCTTTTCTGTTTCCCATAAGGACAGACCAACGGATTTAGGGCCCACCCAAAATCCAGGCAGGCCTCATCACATTTAGCTTAGTTACATCTGCCAAGACCCTATTTCTTTATCACATCTCATTCACAGGCACCGGGGGTTAGGACTCAGACAAACTTTTGCAGGCTACTAAGCCCCCACCACGAGCACTAAGCAGGATGCCACATGGGAATACGATTGCAGGTAGCTAGGAAAAGCTTTCTAGGAAGCCCCAGAGGGAGCCAGGAGTGGGCATGCTGGCAAGACTCCTGCAGTCTCCCTAAACAGAATGGGCACTTCACCCCTGCACCCTCCACCTTCTCTTCTTCCCCTCCCCTGACCTGGAGAGATTTGAAAAGCACCTGAGCCAGCCTGTGGGTTGCTCCTTCCTCTGTGGCCTACCGGCTTTCAAGTGGTCCTTTCAACAGCCCAGGGACCTCCTGCAAAGCCTGAAGCTGCTGCACCTGGAGGAGCTTCCCAAACGCACAGGGGGCACTGGGAGTAGTAGGCCCGCCAGAGGTCCGTGTCACTCACTGTCAACCCCTGGAGCCCCAGGAGCAGAAGTCCTCTCCTCAGGAGTTTGAGGGGAGAGCCTCGCGCCAATGTCCTTGGGCAGCCGGAGTCAGCAAGAGGCACAAAGACCAATGTGGGCCCCGGGGAGGCCAGCTGGTGAAGGAGGGACACAGCAGCCTTCAAAGCTAATCCTCATGTGCATGTGAAGCTTTACAGCCCCCCAAACGCTTTTCCTCTCCTGTCTCCAGCGGTCCTCACGTGCCGTGGGAGAGGGAGGCTGCTGTTCCCACTGCGCACAAGAGTAACAGAGGCTGGAGAGGTGGGGCAGGGGCATCCCCAGCCATAAAACACAGAGCTGCCAGCTATAATGCCTGTCTGAACTGGACACTGGAACAGGAAAAGGACCCAAGTGGAAATCCATATAGAATCTACTATAGATTTAGTAGCAGCCTACCAATTTTAACTCTTAGTTTTGACAAATGTACCATGGCTATGGCAATGTTAAGGAAAGCTGGGTGGAGGGCATATGGGAACTCCCCACACTATTACTACAGTCTGAATGTTAGTATCCTCCCAAAACTCATGTGCTGAAATCCTAATGCCCAAGGTTTTGGAGGTGGGGCCTTTGGGAGGCACTTAGTCAGGAGGTCAGAGCTTTCACAGGGAGATTCATGCCCTGCTAGAAGGTTCCTGGGAGCCAGAGTAACCTTTCCACAGGTGATGGCACAAGGAATCTGCCTTCTGCAGCCCTGAAAAGGGCCTTCACCAAACCCAACACTCTGGCACTCTGATCTTGCATTTCCAGC